TGCTGTGGGAGCCAGCCTTCTTGATCTGCCACCATTTCAGCCCTTCAGATTGGATTCTAAACTGATTGGATTCTATTTTTTCAGCGTATCTTCCCACCTAATGCTTTTATTGCTCTGCCATTACATGTAGAATACTACAGAAATCATCATCAAGGAAACTGCTATTGATGCCAATAAGTACTATACATTTTCTAGCACAGAAGTGATACTAAACACTGCATTCATAAAGGAAGGAGAGAGAGAGAAAAAGAGAGAGAGAATTGTGCACATGCCCAATTTCTGTTGGGAAAGAGACACCACACCAGGCAGAACTTTTATCAAGTCAGACGCAAGACAACAAGACTGAACACTCAAGTTCTGGGGAAGCAGCCTCATTTTCAAGTCTGGCCCACTCTGGCAAGATCTAAATTTAGTTCTTGTCAACCATCAATGATATACAAGACCTAAAGAAATATATTTTTAGAAATACAGCAGTCCTGTTATTTGCATTGCTTAAAAAACATTTCACAACCACAAGTTATTAAAACATGTACTTTGGACAAATGCTAGTCAGAGGGACATCTCTGGTCGGCAACAACACACTAGAATTAAAAGTTGCATTTTGCACAAAACATACAGGTTTGTGTCCAATGGTGAATTCACATTAATTTTGAGCTTTAGGAGCCAGAGACCACTTCATGTACCATTTGTCATTTAAGGGAGGGGCTCACAAAGCACATTCGTGGTGAAAATTCTGACATGGGCAGTTTGTGTTATTATCTCCATTTGTAAGTTCAGACACAGGGGGAGAGCCTTAAATGGCCTGCGTGCAGCACTTCTACAGGAATTCCCTCTCCCGTATGAACTACCCAGACGGCAGGTAAAATCTAAGGCCACTGGACCAAGTCTTTTTTTACAGATGGTACCACAACAGCAGGATGTCCTTCCCTGCATCATTTTTGTTCAGCAAGTAAAACGTCTGCATTTAAAGCCAGCATTTTAATGCACAAGGCTTTCCTGTTCTGGCTTTTGCTTGACTTTTCCACTATGTTGCTGTTGTATTTTACTGCTTTGTTGGCTGATACTCTGTACCACTTGGTAACTATTTTTAAAAATGTCTTGGCTGTTTTCCAATTAATTATACCAATTAATCTCTATGGCCAAAACACATATGTGCGCACGCACACACCTGCCTATGTCTAACTCACAAGTAGATACAGGTGTAAATCCTTACCCATGCTGACATGTGGCTGATCTTCTGGGAACAATATCAAAACAAGGGAAGTTAGTAGCACTTTCGGCAGGCAGATTATTGTTTTGGCCAATCAGTCAAAGTATTTGGATTGAAAAGGAGAAGCAGGAGACATACAGAATGTGCACCAAACATATTTAAGCTTTACATTGGAGAAAGTCGTGTACAAGCAGGTGAGCGTGCAAACATTCATGCATTCAATATTTTTTTTTGTCTAGAACTAGTAATGTGATTACACAGTGGAATCATTTACAGTTTGCTAGCATTTTAGCAAAGATTTGATCTGAAACACTCAAAACGCTACATGGAGCCTTGGAACCTTAAGGCCAATCCATCCGGAGAATATCTGCAGATACTGTCAGATAGGTGGTAGTTACAATCAAACACACTACCTACAGGTTTGGCTGTTTGTACTGCCAACGCACACTGTTCCAGAGCTAGTAACAGGAAAGCCCCAGCTGTGCTTGCTGGATCATGGCCAACAGACTGGGTGTCTAAAGAACTGGGGTATAAGGAAGCAGTATTCAAGAAGAGGCAGTGATATTTTTAAAAATAATAATAAAACCCTGACCATCTAATACTTGTCCATCAGTAATAAGTCAGAGAATCTCTGGGTTACTGGTCAGATTTTAGCTACATTCTGCTTTGCAAAAACTGGTTTGGCTCTCTGTGATTTGGAGCAGGCCCCCCCACCCCACCCATGGAGGTAAACTTGCTTTCATGGCAGCCTACAACCTCACAGGAAAATAACATGAAGATTCAATGGCACTTCAAGCTGCCCCTCCAAGCCAGGCATATGAGAACTACACTTGGTGCTTAGATCATTATGAAACATTCACTCTCAGAATTACAGAGCACAGGTGGCCCCCTGCACCCAACCATCCACAAACATTTCCTGTGAAAGAACCCCACAAAAGTAAAAGGAGTCGCTCAAGGGCACAGCCATGCCTTCTTATCTACCTTACCTCAACAGGGCTTCAACAGGAAAAGCTGCTGGTGGCTCCTGCCAGTGTGTACTAGAACCCACTAGAAGGGCAACACTGCAGTCCCCTTTCAGATGCCATTTCCTACACTACCCTTAAGGAACATCAACAGATGGCTTACTTCAGAAACTGAATGTGCTTGTGCAGTTCATCTGACCCTGAACACATACACAAAACTTCCATACAAGAAACTTGAGATAAAGAGCTTATTTGGACTACACAGACTGACTAGCCCCACGGGCAAAGATCGTTCCTCTCTTCCCAGAGGCTTGCTGAGCTTCCAGCTGCACTACTGGATCTGGCAACACAGAAGATGCTCGTGCCACACTTTGCAGCGCACTGAGGTGGCAACACCGCAACTAATTTTTTTTTAAGATTGCAAGCTCAAGTTGCAACTTGGTATGCAAGCCCACCTGCTATCGAAAATGGCCGCAAATGTGTAAACAGAAGATCTCTTCACCACTTCTTACAATAAGCCCTGCTCAGGTCTTCCCTCACAGAGGGGTGTTGTTTCTTCCCACATCCTCCTAGTACATTTCTGTGCTCTGTAAGACACCACTGTGTGCAGTCATGTTTCAAACCCTACAGAGATCTTGGACCATCTGGAAAATTGACAAGAGATGTATTGTTGCTGAGATAATGACTACGGAGAACAGTGCTATCCTGGCTATGTCTGAGTCCCGTAGCACCTTAAAGGCAAGATGCAAGGTGACATTGGTTTTTAACAACTGCACTCTTCAAGTGACACAGCTACCCATGTGACTATGTTATCAATGGCAAAATCCCTACTGATTTTAAAAGGGGTCGGGATTTCACCCCCAGTCTCATTCTCATGCAAGAAAGATGGAGGGTAACTGAACTGAACAGCATCCATGATCTTAGCCCCCCCCCCCCTTCAGTGTCTTAACAGGTGTATTTTATACACCAGCTACTCAAGGGAAGTTAGGTTTGTGCAGTGCAAAACGGAAGCATGCAGCAAGTTAAAAAGAAACAGTCAAGCCTTTCAAGCAGCACAAGAACCCATTTGGCACGATCTCTTTTAAAATCCTAGTTCTCGCTATGTCTGGGCCAAACCACTTCAAACTGCTCCCCCATGAACTAAACATTACTAACATAGAAACCTAGCATGCCAAATTGAAGGGTAGGCTATAACCCTTCCTCTTTGGTAACTGGTTTCCTATGTGGAAGGAAATTTTTTGTCCAGAACAGCACTCAACCACCTGACGGCCTGCCTGCAGTATGAAGTGGTATGGTCTTGACATAGGTTTGCCACCATAGCGAGAAGCAGGCCAAAGTCAGCTGGCTACTTTAACCTAGAAGAACGTCACTCCCATTCGATCCCTCTACCATGCAAGCCAAAGTGGTCTCTGAAATAATAATTTACAATTCAGCCATCAATGTATTTCACTTAACGTAGGTATCAAGACAGTAAGAAGAGCCTTAGGTTTGAATTTCTAAATCTAAAAAAAATTAAAAAGTGAGAAAAGGAACCAGCTTATTTTTTTGGTACACCTAGGAGGGAAGTTCTATGCAAAAGAAGTTGGGAGACTTAACTACTCATGATGAAACTCTATTTCAAAAATATTAAAGTTCACATGCAAAAGAAGTTGGGAGACTTAACTACTCAGTTAAAGTTCACACGGACCATTTTTTTCTCCTACATGATAATTTCACATATCAAGTAGCGTAACTTGGGAAGTGATCCATGGTGGCAGTTTTGTACTATTCAGATGACCATGGACCACTGACTCTTCGCACATGAGGCAACTGCGTAACCATGAAAGCAAGGCTAGAAGGTGGCAAGCCCATCATGCTCCCAACAGAACACAGGACAGAACACATGAAGTGGCTGCTATGTTACTAACTTCTATAGCCCAACACAGACACTGCTCTGATGACACACAGCCCACAGACAGCAAGAGAGAATGACAGAGATTGTGCCTGCTTATCCAAATCACCTGCTCCACCTTCAAAATCTGTTTGGCAACAATGTGCTGGAAGGAGCAGGAGTCCAGGGCAGGATTCTGCAAGAACCTTTCCACTAGTGGAAGCACTTTCCTCAAGCGCAAGGAGCCTGCCAGTGCCAGAGGCCTGAACCAGGGGAACGCTCCCTTCCATCAGAGGAAAGTGCCTCCACTGGTACAAAGCAGCTGCAGAGTCAGTCCCCATGTGTGCAGGAGGCAACATGTACAGGTCCAATGGACCTGACCACGACTTCCTGATTTTGATGCTTATGAGGCCTGCAACCTAGTATGTGGAAATCAGGTAGGCCTGGAGGTTGGATAGGGGCACAGTTTTGCATTCTCCACCTTGTGCATAGGTAAGACAGTTAAGACACCCATCTGTATCCTTCAAGCCTCACTTGTCCCAAAGACATGTACAAGACCTTCTACATAAGGCAAGATGCAAGTTTTCACCTTCAGCATGAGATGATGCAGCCAGCGTCACTCACGAGAATCCAGCTGCTCTGGTGGAAATCTGAAATACTCAACTCTGCTAAAAATTATTATGGGAGGGGGGGAGTTTCCCCCCCTCACCACCTGTCCTACACAATTAAATAAGTTTTTCAATATCTAAGACCCACCACTGCCACCTTGCAATTAAAAAAAATTAAATTAAAAAAATCAACAAAATTATAATTTGCAAAAATTTAAAACAAACAAAAAAGTCCTTTTATGGCTTTGATCTCCCTTGTGGAGGGTAAAAAGTAGAGGAGTATTGCCACGCTAAAAAATAAAATATGTGTTTTATATCTATCACTATACATATTTTTTCACATTGTGTCATTATTCTTTTTTCCTTCGTTTCTGACTATGGGTCTTTGCAGTACTTATTAGGGAGCCCAGGCATGTGCTGATCCCAGCTAAGTGAAGAAGAGACCCGGCAGCCTCTTTCAGTTCCTCATCTATTTCTTGGCAAAGCTCTTCCAAGGCTGTCTTGTGAGGCTGGTTCTTATCAGAAGGACCGACACGTGGCTGGGAGGTGTAGCCACTGTCCGCCAGTGGGTCATCATCATCTTCCTCATCATCGCCGTCTGTGTCCTCCTCGCTGTGGAACCCTTCACTACCATCGCTCCCAGCCCTGCTAGCCTCTGAGACGAATTCATACACCTCATCGATGGAAGATAGGGAAGACACGCTCGACAACGATGCACAACGCTGAGAAGCCACACTGCTGGCACTGTAATTATGATCCTCCTTCGGGTCAATGTTGGGGACTGTGGAACTGGACTCCTGCTGGCTTGCCATACTGTGGTTATGGAACGCACTGCCATAGTTCCTTTTCTTGGAGAGCTTGAGGGGCTGAGGCGTCTCACCTATGGGAAAGTAAGTATTGATTAGAATTGGAATGATTACAGGCAAGGGATTGGATCTAGCAGTATTTTGTTTTTAAAAAGGGAATGATCAGGCCTGTAGCCAGGATTTTGTGGCTTGTGGGGCAATTTTTTTCTGGTGGGGCTGAAGTTCTCAGTGCAGAAAGAAAAGCCAGAAGTCTGAGGATTATGACTCAGCTACTGTGGAATCAAGTCTTTTAAAATCAGGGCACAGAGGCTTCTACAAATCTTAGCCCCAGAGTGTGGCAATAGCAGGCTGTGAAAGGGGAATGGGAATAAAGTTTCTGATAGATGATAGGTTTGGCACTGGAAATACTTATCTGGGTTTGGCCAGTAAATTCACTCCAATTTGTATAAAAGCACATAAAACTTTATTTACAAAAATAAACACATAGATAGGGGAAAGAATGTATACAGTTCAGCAAGGAATGCAAACCAAAACAAAAAACCTAGCTGGCTATTCTATTCACTACTTTTCCTACCAGGCACGAAGCTCTGGCTTCTCAACTGGCATTCCTGATGAGCAGAGTCTCTGGAAGCACAGCAGCAGGGTGGAAGTTGAAGAGAGCTTCGAGGCAGTCTCTTCTCTCTCTGAGTCTTCTCAGGCTGTCTATTCTACATAGGTATTCTTAACCATTTAGCAAATAGAAAGCTGTTACCAGGATAGATCTCTAAACTGCAAGCTGTCAACCACTTTAGATGACAGTTCTCAGCTGCTGCAAGTTAATCACTTCTGTCAGCCTAAGCAACAATTCTGATAACAAGCCGGCAGTTGGGGGTGATGACTTCTATAGTCAAGAAAACTAACACTTAGGCAGAAAAACTCTCTTAAAGAAGACCAGTTTCTTAACACAGAATTAGAAGGGATCCTAGAGGTCACCTACTCCAACCCCCTTGCTCAGTGCAGGAATTAGTCAACTATAGCATCGCACTCTGCTTAAAGGAATGCACATCTTTTTAAAATGCCTTAACAGTGCCTTGAAGAAAGGGGGCAGAGCCTCCAAAAGCCCCACTGTTGCTAAGGGCCTGGGAATAGTGATTTTTGTTGATCCCCTCTTCTATTGTAAACCTCCAATTCACACCTTATGCTGTTCTGGGGCGGGGGGGGGGTTGTCTCTGCCATCCACAAAGAACAGCATTTTAGTGAGCTTAGTGGGCTGCTGATAGAGGGGCAAGGCAGGAAAGTTCCACTGCTGGACGTACCTTCCATTTGCAGAAAAATATAACTGGATGCCACCCAACAAGGGGGTTCGCTCTCCTCAAGCATCAGAAATGTGTGCAACTGAAATCCTGATCCTCAGATGAAGAACAGCCTAAGTACATAACTGAAACTGCTCACATATATTCCTTTTTACACATCTCCCATCCCTTCTCCATTGTAATTTAGACTGGAAGTCTTTTTTTATGTCACTCTGTAAAGCTCCATGAACTTTGATGGTGCAAAGTAAACACTGAATTCTGGTCAAACGTCTGTGTTCAGTACACTACATGTATTCTGGAGCTTTTCCAAATTTTCTCCTTGTGGCAGCACTTTGCATCCTCTGTATAGCCTCTCCTGAAAGTCTGCTAAAACTGAGAGACCAAGAGATACCTAGGAAGGGACACTAGTCCCCTCTACCCAACAAGTCTCAAGAGCTTATCATGCTTTTGCCGTTGGGACAGGGCAACAAAAGTGAAGTTGGTGCATGCAGCTTCAAGGTATTAATAGTTCTACCCATGCTGGATGGAACTGGCAGATTTACGTTATTTGTGTCATTTGTAAGCTTCGTTCACTTTCAACAGGCTTGAGGAATTAAGCATTTTCAAAGTTACAGAGCCTGTCGTTCGATTTGCGAAATGAATGACGGTCCCTGGCTACAGTGAACTCAAGTTAAGGTGCCATTTGTATTCTTCCTTAGCACACCGTAATTTACACAGAAGTGTCAGTTGCAAAGGACTCTGTAAGGTGGTTTACCTTGCTTATTATTCTCATGTCACGCAGCTATAATATCGAAGACTATTCACTGAGTGGACTACACCAGACGCAACGTACAGCTTCATATCTGTACTGAATGCATCATGTTGAATGATGAATACCCAAACTAGCACACATATTTTAAACCCAAGCAGTTCAGCAATATTATGATATACCTAGCTGTATTATAAAGTATGGTGTTTTACTGCAACTGATACACTCCTACAGACCAAAAGCCAAATTACTGCTCAGTTATTTACATGCACCCAAGGGGGACCCTTTGCCAAGGGTATATTCTACCAGGGAAATACAGTAATTGCACTCAGATGTCACAAACTGAAATTTGTTAAAGCTGCAATTTGTGTAACAAATTCTAATCAGTCTGTCAAATGTAATAAATCGCAAACTATGAATAAATCTTGGTTCGATTGCTTCTTGTCTCTCTCCTATATTCCAGAAGAATATTCTCCTTGTACTGCTATTTCTGAGTTCATTAATTCAGACAACACAACAAACCACAATTAGTATAAGCTGGCTCTTCGGCTTGGAAATGGAGATGAGTCGGATTCAGCTACCTTTTGAGCAAGGGAAATCTTTATAGTTAATAAACCAGCTACAAATCCTAGTTTGAAATCCTAATAAGGTGCTGGTCCACAAGCCCTGGTTTGTTGCTGTCTGCATTCGGCTGCCACAACTAGCCAGTGACCAATCAAACCAGTCTATAAACCATGGTTTAGTGTGATGTCTGAATGCAGCCAAACTGTCAGATGCTTTAATGCAGGCACTGAACTGTCACATCTTAATGGCAGCATTTTAAAAGAGGGTATAAAAACTTCTTGTGCTTACAATCTAAAATGCCTTGTTCAATAGAAGTATTCAACAGCATCATGGCAGTAGCAGCATCGATATCAGAGTCTGAAAAGGAATAGAAAATCAGTGCCAATAAGTTCCACTTAGAGAGACAAAATATGATTGTACCAACAAAGTAAATTTAGGCTATCAACAGTGGCTTAACAAGCTTCAGAGCCAAATGAGGACCTGAACCCAAGTTTCCCACACTTAAGCCTGAACGCTTTTGTCATTGTAACTCATTGGTTCTTTAGATCATGCAGCTGCAACACACACACACAGACAAGCAAGATCTTTTGCAAGTGAAATATCCCAGTCTCCTTCAAGCTTTTAGCTATTAAACGGTGAAGTAAGAGGGCACACCCAGCAAATCACAGAAACAAAAGGGGTGAAGAACGGGCACACAGATTCTGAAAACATACTAATGATAAATATCTGGATAAGCTTTTAGTCATCATTACAAATGCAGCTGTCCCTCTGCCCTGAAAATTTAAGAATAAAACTCGATGAAATCAGCCAGAGCAGTGTAATAACACAGTCGGGGGGGGAGCACTAATGGAGCCAGCGTACCACTATGCTGGTGCATCCCCGATATACACCTGCACAGCACCCTTCCATCACCATGCCAGTGCTGAGAGCCAGCATAATACGAGTGTGCCCCCCGCCACAGCACTGCCAGTGCAACCTTGTGCACCAGCAGGGTATGTGTCCAGGGGTGTGGCAGGTTGGCTCTCTTAAGCCACTCCAGTTCAGGAACACCCCCTAAAGCCAATGGAAGGTTACACGGGCAAAACCCTTTACGTATCTCTCAGGCACTCATGAAGTCTGAAAAAAGCAGCCCCCCCATCCGCGATGCCTTTGGTGCCCCGAGAACCACAAGAGGCCAATGAGCACTGTGACCAAGTGCCCTCTGGGCCCTAGACACACCCCCACCTCCTGCCATAGCTAATCTCAGCACCTGGTGGACTATAAACCTGGGTTGTGAGTGGGAAGGCCAGATGCCAAGTTGAGAATCTACACTGATTGAGACTTAGCATCTTGCACTACCAGAGCTGGTCCTGCTACCTACTGGTGTCCCTGGGGGGGTGGGGTAGAACGCATGCCCCACTGGTGCTCTCATGCTGGGGCCAGGGGTGAATTCTGAGGTCTGGTGGTTCCAACAGTGCCTGGCCACACCCTCGCATTCCTGTGGCATACTGGCAGGGCCACACTGGGCTCTGTGGGTGGTGATGGTGATGCCGACAGCTAGCCCAAACTGACCAAGGCAGAGAAGATTCTGCTGTATGGGCTGACAGTGGAGCATGGGGCAACTCTGCTACCACTTGCCACCATGCTTGCTGGGGCACAAAGGCTGAGCTGCATGCCAGCCTAGGGTTCACAGACCCAGGGTAACGGGAGACCTCTGCCCCTTACAGGCCATCAACTGCCCCGCTGGCCCATCCACTGGGCCTCCAGTAGGCCACGTCCCTGCCACCCACACTGGAGTGGTGAATCAAGAGGAGATGGAGGCCACCAAAGGGACAGCCACCACAACCACAGTGGCTGTAGGGTGGACAGGGACAGCGGTGAGGTGGGCATGGGCATGGGGAGGAGGCATGGCTGTGGCCCACATGTGGCAAAGGGAGGCCCCACCAGCTGATGTGTTGCTCTCCGTTGCCCCCTCAGGCTTCCTTGCCTCGATTTTCTTTCCCAGTGTTGTGGAATACCTTTGTGCCCTCTCCCCTTCAAGATGGGCCATGGAGGTCAGGATAGCTGTCCTCCAGATCTTGGGCATCAGGGACTCCACAGGGAGAGTGGTTGCAGACAAAGCATCACAGTGGGCAGATTCCACATCTGTGGTTGGGGGGTGGGTGGGCAGGTGATCCGGGAGAGGCTGCTGGGGTCGTGGTAGACCCTGGCTTGGCCCCAGAATGGTGGGGCTCCAGTGAGTCTGGGGATTTGGACCTGCTGCCAGGTCTAAGGAGACAAACATGTGCCTGGTGCACCCCCCCCCCCCACAACTTTCTCATCTTTGTGGGCAGACTTTGATGTGGAGCAGATGGAGACCCAGCACAAGTGGAAGAAGTTGTGGCCTGAGGTCTGCAGTAGTAGTAGAAGAAGAGATTGGATTTATACCCCGCCCTTCACTCAGGGTGGCTTACAATCTCCTTTCCCTTCCCCTCCCTACAACAGACACCCTGTGAGGTAGGTGGGGCTGAGAGAGCTCTGCCAGAACTATGGCTTGCCCAAGGTCACATCAGCAGCTGCGAGTGGAGGAGTGGGGAATCAAACCTGGTTCTCCCAGATTAGAGCGCGCCCAGATTAGAGCGCGCACTTAACCACTACACCAAACTGGCTCTTGTACTTGGAGGGCCTCACAGTGGCTCAAGGGGTGGCAGCTGGGCACCTTAAGTGGCCGGGAGCTGTTCCATTCTGTGGGGCAGGGACCTGTGCCTTTAAGGGGTGGGGTGCATACTGAGGGCATGGCCCAGCAATGCCTGGTGCCTGCCCCTCCACTTGCATATCTTCAGGGCCGGTTCCCTGTGGCTGCTGCCCTTTTGATGACTGGTTCTCCTGTCTGTCATGGGGATGCCATTGTGCCCTTGTGACATCTTGTGGGCACGATAACACTGTTACTGGGGATGCCAGTGCCTGGGTGTTTGCCTGGTCCCTGTCTCTGCTGGTTTTCGTCAGTGAATGGACTAGCAGCACTGCTGTTGCTGCATTGGTGGCCAGCCACCTCCACAGCTCTCACAATTGTGCTGTAAAGGTCTGGTCCTGGGAAATGAGAGGAGAGATATTTAAGC